GGGGTTTGTCAATTTTATTAACCTTCTCAAAGAACCAGCTCTTTGTTTATTTTTTTTTTTCTATTTTTTTTTTCAATTTCATTTATTTCTGCTCTAATTTTGATTATTTCCTTCTGCTGACTTAAGGCCTCATTTGTTCTTCCTAGTTTTGTATTTTCCTTCTGCTGACTTAAGGCCTCATTTGTTCTTCCTTTTCTAGTTTTGTATGATGGAGCGTTAGGTTGTTTATTTGAGCTCGTTCTTGTTTTTGGAGATAGGCCTGTAATGATATGAACTTTCCTCTTAGGATTGCTTTTGCCGTGTCCCAAAAGTTTTGATATGTTGTACTATCATTATCATCCATTTCTATGTATCTCTTGCTCTTTTTGTTTCTTCCCTGAACCAGTTATTTTTCAGTAGCATGTTGTTTAATCTCCATGTATTTGTGGTTCCTCCTGATTTCTTTTTGCAGTTGATCTCTAGTTTCAAAGCATTATGATCAGAGAATATGGTTGGTATTATTTCAACCCTCTTATATTTGTAGCTAAGGAATTTAAACTAAAAAATACTTAAAACACAGAATAAGCCAAGTAGTACATAATCCCATATTATGTTTGGCTGTGGACCATCAGATCTGTTCTAATTAGCCTAATCAAAGTAAATGAATTTGCACTATAACATAAATAGAAAGATTCTATTAAAATTTTTACATAAATACAAGTTTTTCAGAAATGAAAACATCATTTGCAAACAATATACCGATGAGTAGACATATAAAACAAAGTATAGCTGTTCCAAAATCTCAAAACAACTTCAATATATATATAAAACCACATTTTATAAAATGAGATACTTATAATGTCTATTATATTTATCTTTTATACTTAGATGTCTCCATTTATGGTGTTTTTAAACTACCAACCAGAGTGAGTCTTCCAAAACATACATCAGATTGGGGCTGGGTGAAAAAGTTGAAGGGATTAAGAAGTACAAACTGGTAGTTATAAAATAGTCATGGGGATGTAAAGTACAGCATAGGGAATATAATGAATGATACTATAACTATGTACAGTGCCAGGTGGGTACTAGACTAATTGGGATGAATCACTTTGTAAATTATGTGTCTAATCACTATGCTGTCCACCTGAAACTAATATAAAATAATACTGAATGTCAACTGTTATTGAAAAATAAAAATTAAAAATTAAACTTAAAATGGTATTGGTAAAAACAAAAAAACAAAAAACAAAGCCATTATGTCAGATTATGTCATTTCTGTCCTTGGCTCAAATTTCTCCAATCGCATTTCCCACCTAACTCAATTAAAATCCAAAGTTCATACTATGGCCTATAGCCTTACATGGTTTTATTACAACTGTCTAGACCTCCGTTCTGCCTATTATCTCTTTAAAAGTTAAAACCAGAGCTACCATATGACCCAAAATATACCAGAGAAATAAAAACATGTCCATACAAAAACTTAGAGATCAATGTTCAAAGCAGCACCATTCATATTAGCCAAAAAGATGTTAACTACCAAAATATCCATTAGTTGATGAATGGTTAAATAAAATGTAGAATATCTATATGTGTGTGTTATATGCTGTTGAGTCAGCTCTAACTCTTGGAAACCCTATGAATGAGCGATGCCCACAGTGTTCTGTCTTCAGCAGCCCCACTCAGCTCTGTAGACTCCTGCCTATGGCTTCTTTTATGGAATCGATGCACTTCATATTTGGTCTTTCTCTTTTCCTGCTGCCTTCTATTTTTCCCAACATTGTCTTTTCCAAAGAACCCTGCCTTCTCATGATGTATCCAAAGTAGAACAGCTTCAGTTTGTCATTTTCACCTCCAGTAATGTTTCAGGCTTAATTTCCTTTAGGGCCCACTAGTTTGTCTTCCTGGCAGTCTAGAGTATCTGTAGAGCTTTCCTCCAACACCATATTTCAAATGAATCAATTTTTTTTCCTACCAGCCTTATTCACTGTCCAATTTTCACATCTGTACATAGTAACTGGGAAATAAAGGTATGGACGATCTTAGCCTTGGTCTCTAATGACACATCTTTGCTCTCAGTGATCTTTCCTAATTCTTCCACTGCTGTCCTGAGTTTCAGCCTTCTCTAGAATACTGAATATCCATATAATGAAATATTCAGCCATGAAAAGGAACAAAGTACTGATACATACTAAAACATGAATGAAGCTTGAGAACATCATGCTAAGTAAAAGAAGCCAGTCACAAAGGACCATATATTGTATGATTCTATTTATATGAAATTTTCTGAACAGATAAATACAAAAATAGAAAGTAGAGTAATGGTTCATAAAGGCTGGAGGATCGGGGTTATCTGGGGAATGAATATTAATGGGTACAGGGTTTCTTTGTGGGGTGATAAAAATGTTCTAAAATTGACTGGGGTGATAGTTTCACAACTCTGTAAATATTCTAAAAATCACTGAATTGTATACTTTAAATGGGTGAATTAATTATACCTCAATAAAGCTATTAAAAAGTAATAACTCTCTGGGAATAATAATAGTAGTGTTCCAAATTTCAAGAAGAGGTTTGAGTTGAACCAGTATATGTCTTTGTCAAAACTCACGCATTTCATTGTATGTTATTAAAATATACATGTGTGTATGCATATAAGTGTTTGTGTTATCCATTCTGCTTCTTTCAAGGAATTGTATAATCCACACTAAGAAGATAATTCTTACAAAATTCTGTATCTTATTTTAAGTAGTTGATCATGGAGCACAGGCAATTTCACCAAAATAAAGAATTATATATCTAATAAATTAAACAAAAATTTGTTTAAACTGAGAGCTGCTCATTAAATCTTTATTAGTACTTTATAAGCTTCTTAGAGCCATATAGTTCTTAAAACAATATATTACTCCAGGTTCAGTGATACATTGGAATATGTGTCATTAAAATTATAGATCCTATCCTGCTTTTTATTTATCCTAAGAGATTTCACATTATATTCTCAATCACATTACAGGCTAATTAAAATATCAAAATAGTTACCATGACTTCTTACCTATTGAGCAAGAAATGGACGTCAATCTCTAAAGCCAAACAAGTATTTACAAATTTTTCTTTAAAAAATGTCTTTGCAGATGTATTTGCTCAGTGGCCTTCGAAGCCCTACCACAGTACTGGACAGAGATAAAAAGAGCAAGGCCCCTAGAGTCAAAGTGCCCTGGCTCACCCACTAACTCACTGTGGGCAAGCTGCATGTCTTTTCTGTACCTTGGTTTCCTTGTCTTTAAAATCGGGGGATAATTAAATAACTATGTTGTACATCTGAAAATAATGTATATTGTATATTAACTATATTTCGATACAATAAAAAATTAAATAAAATGTGGGATAAAAGAATACCTATGTCATAGAATTGAGGAATAAAACAGCTTGTCCATAGAAATGATTTAGAAAAATGCCTAATGCATAGTAAGCATTCAATAAATATTAGCTTTATTATTATTTATTTTTTTACAAACCTTTTATTTATTTACTTTCAATAAGTTTAAATCCCTGAGGGGTACAGCATTTACATGGATTCTGTGTCCAATGGCCTTAGCAGGAAGGTTGCTTTGGAATTTGGCACGAACCATGCCCTTTTCCATGAGCACCAGTCACCTTACCCCAGATTACCCTGGTTTTGTTCAGTTTGCCATCAGGAGTCACTGTGTTGTTCTTTGCCTTGTACACATAAGCACATCTCTTGCCTAGACAGAATTCAGTCTCATCTCAAGCATAAACACCTTCAGTTTTAAGGAGAGCTGTGTGCTCTCTCTGGTTCCGGAGAACCCGCTTACAGCCAGCAAAAATGGCCTTGGCCCATAGTCTTTTAGACATATTTGTCATTTTAGAAGTCCTGTTCCCAGGAGGCCTCCACAGGCTCCAAGAAGGTAGAAAAAGCAGATTTATTACTTATTTATAGTCCAGGTAATTTTAAGAAAATTGTAGAATATTTCTTAAAATTTTATTGACAATATGCAACTTTTTTCTTTCATCAAATAACTTGCCTGCTAGGTACTAAGTATGATAAAATCTAAAACCTACCTGCATGGCTGCATCACCTATTGCACGTCGAATTTCCCTTAGAGTTTGATATCGCTCCAACAGGTGATCACCACAGATGATGTCTACCTACAGGCAAATAAAAGTATCAGATGCTTCAAATTTCCATATGAAAAAATTAAGAAAAATCAATATAATTATTTCCAGACTACACTTACTATTTTATTTTAGACTAATTAAACACTCTCAAGAAAGATTTTAGAAATATTTTACAAAAGTAAATAAAATAAAATGGAAAGAGCATAGCAGGACAACAGCACAATACAACCAATATTCAAAACGATTCCCCTGAATTTCTGAGAACAAGTTAAATCACATTTGATATATTCAGCATAAGAAGGTGCAGAAAAGTACGTTTTTAAATAAATTCCATGATAAAATGATTAAAAGGGTATATGATGCTTAAAAAGGCAATCTTTAGTTATTTGAATAATTCTAAAGAATATCTCATTCTCCAACAATGGAAAGTCTAACACTGACATGATGTACACACTAAGGGAACTGTTTCACGGATGGAACAATCTTAGTCTTTTCAGCCCTTTAGTAATGTCGAAGCTCTAAGATAAGTCTACTTTTATACAGAATGCTCTAGAAAGAATATTGTAATAGAATTATATACTACAATGTAACAAGATTCTAGTATACCTACTTGCTAAGATAGAAAAGCAAATCTTTAATCTCTCACTGAGTGTTCCTTTCCCATTGCCTTTATTTATTTTTATTAATTATTTTTTTATGGTGACATTGGTTATTGAAATCCAGTAAATTTCAGCTGTATCCCACTGCCTTTAAAATGATATCAGGTCCTTAATGTCTGATTAATATATATCACTTAATTGTCTCCATCCCCTAACATCCCATTTTAGTTTTTGGCATGAAATTTCTCCTTGTCCTCTAAACCAGAATATCACCTCTGACCCCTATTTCTCCTTTTCCTTTCTTCTCACATGCAATCAATTACCAAGTTCTGTGCTTCTTAGTTCATAATACCTCTTAAGTTCATATCATTCTTTCAACTGCTGCCCCTAGGCTTAAACCACTGAAACCAGCTATTAACCCAATTTCCTACTTTCATATTCCATTTACTCCAAAAATCCTATATACTGCCAACACATTAATTTTCCCAAAACCTTCAGTATAGTTGGAAAATAGTAAAAGCAGTTGCATTTAACTGAGCAGTCACTTTGTACATCATGTTATACATTTAATCTTCCCTTTCCTGTGAGCTAGGTATTATAATTCCCATTTTATAATTAGGAATAGTAAGAGGTGAAGACATTGAACTTTCCTAAGGTCATAAAGCTAGTAAGCAGCAAAGTGCAGATCTGAACCCAAGTCTGTCCCTAGGTCTATCTTTCTCCAAAGCCTAAGTGCATATCAAGAGTCAGCAAACTTTTTCTGTAAAGGGCTAGACAATAAATATTTTAGGCTTTGTGAGCCATAGGATTTCTGCCACACCTACTCAATTCTGCTATTGTAGCATGAAAAAAAAAAGTCATAGTATGGGTTCCAATAAAACTTTATTAATGAAAACAGATGGCAGTCTAGATTTGGCCATGGGTCATAGTTTGTCAACTCCTGTGCTATCTCATAATGCATAATCTCCAATAAGTAACAACTTTTATGTTTTATACTTACCAGTTTAAAATTGGCAGAACAATACTTGTTACAAAATGACCTGAAAGCAATGATAGATCTTGCATACAGAACTTAGATCCATGAAAAATTAAAGAATTTGGAAACTATCATTATGTTTTTATTAAGTATTCAGCAATGCAGAGACCAACACTTTTATACCACATGGTATACATTTATGGTTTGTTCACTATAATTTTATTTTTAATTTAATCTTAACCCCAGAGGTTGGCCAGTTACTAACAGTTTCATGTGCATGTTCCTAGATGCTATGTGTGCATGTGGGTTTTTTGTTTGCTTTTATAAAAAAGGGATTATGTCACATATTATTGTTCTACATATTCTTTTATTTAAAAAACAACAAAACCTTAATATGTCATGGACTCTTTTGGAGTACACAGTTAACTTTCTCTCTCTTTAAAAGCTGCATTATGTTCTATCGTATGAATACATCATAATTTATATATACATTCCCCTTATAAACATTTAGATCGCTTCCCACTTTATATGCTGATTTTTAAAGTTACTTGACTATAAATATTTCATAAATTACTTCATTCAGATTCACATCTCTGAGGATCCCACAAACATGACCCACATATTTGGTAATTTGCTACGATAACTCACAAAATTCAGCATGACTGGAGCTATGATTATAGCAACATAGCAAGAATACATAGCCAGACCAGTAGAGGAAAAAAATGTAGGTGGTGTCTGGAGAAATCCACACACAGGTTTCCGATGCTCTCCCCTCCCAATCCAGGAGATAACACCGAGTACTCCTTTCTCTAGCAGCGGAAATGCAGCCAATTGTGCAATGTTTTTGCCCAGGAAAGCCAATCTGAGGCTCAGAGTTTAGGGTTTTTATTGAGAGCTGTTTACGTTGTCATTCTCTGCCTAGCAACTACCAAATTCCAGACTCCCAGAAGGTAAGCAGGTGTTCATCACAGATCCATTGTTTGTATAGTCTAGGCACAGTGAAATACCTTTATCGGTTAGGGAACTTTTCATATTAATGCAGGAACTTTTTACAAGCCAAGTTCCTAGATGCTAGGGAAGGGCCAACCTTCTAAGCAGGCGCTTCCAAAGACAGAACGCTCAAGTCTGTTTTGTTAATTCCTTTCTGCACAATCTTTCTACCCTCTTGCATATCAAGTCTTGCTAGAAAGGATCACTATAATATTTCTGAATTTCAGAGCAGAAATAAGAATGTGAAAGTAGTCTTAAGGAGGGAGGGAAAACCCTTATCTTTTAAAAAACAAGATCATACTAGAACTTCTAAGAGAGGAATTTTCACTGAATGAATCACTGGCTCATTCCTCTTTGTTCGTACATACTTTTATCTGATAGAAAGTTCTTTTCTTCTTTTGCAAATTCATATTCATTTTTCAAATCCATTCTTTCACCTCTTCAAAGTTAAATCATTCACTCTGTGCTCTTGCTGCACTTATCATATCCTACTGTTATTTAGTTGTTGCTTGTGTATCTTTCCCATACAACTGAATCCCCTGATGGAGTGAATTTTCTGCCTCATCTTTGATGAGTCTAAAGCCAAGTACATAGATGCTCAATTTAGTATCAACAGAAAATAAATGATTGGTAGGGATACACCATATGATACATTAGAGTTTCTTTAAAAAATGATTTGGAAACAATAGTAGGGTTAGGGCCACATACTAAATAAATAGATTTTTTTAAAAATCTATGTTTTAAGATGGAATTATGGTAGGATTAACAAAATCTAATATCACAGCTTTTATATAAAGACTTTTATGTGGTGACAGAAAGAAATCTAACATTGGGAAGTAAACATAGTGTAAATATATATATGCCTTATTATTAAAGTGTACAGCTGAAACATTGGGTTTCGTTAAGCAATGTCACCATAAAAAAAAAATTTTGTTTTAAATTTAAAAAATAAAACCTGAGACTAAAAAAAAAGAATTCTGAGTGATGAGTCTTATGTATATTTAAAATCTCATTTCATAAAAGCAAAATAAGCTCTGAAGATCAAACAATGTGCAAAAGAACACAACACAAGAGTAACAATAAAACAAAATACAGTAAAAGACATCAATGAATTCAAAATTCCACTAAATCAACCAGGGTAATCCAGAGGCACTGAGGTCTCTATTGAAAGAAATTTATTCAGATAATTATTGATTTCTTATTTTGAATTAAATCTTTTAAGAACACATGGAATGACCTATATTTTTTATCTTTCGGAAATGTCTTCTCTTCCTTTTTAATTTTGATTCTCCATAAATAACTTTAAAGGTAGTTCATCATTAGCTAACAGTCCCCAGTAATCATCCATTCCTGCAGGTAAATAACCATATATGAAGGTCACATATTGTAAACAAAGCACACATTTCCCACCTGGGACTAACTTGTTTAAAGGTTAGTACAGCAGGCTCAAGTGACTGGGTTCACCAAGAATTTTATTTTGATTAATGGTTAACTAGCTCAATGTTTTGCTCACACTAGAAGTAACTCTTTTTACTATCACTTGGATTTAAAAGGTTTAACAATTTTAGACACAAATTAATAGGTCTGCATATTTGATAATTCTCTGTTCCATTATATTTACATTTTGGTGAAATAGTCATTTATGAATGTTACCAGCTATATAGTACCTAAATAGGAAAGAAATATTTACCTAGAGAGCCAAGGGCTGATAAAGAAAATTAAAGGTTGAAACAAATTTTTTATCATTTTATTTCAAAATGCTAAAAGCTCTGAATTCTATGATGTGAGGAAAAAATAAACCCACATTTTTACACAATAAAACCAATTTAGAGTTTTGACAACCAAATTTCTTCAAACAGCAAACGCGAAATTTATAAATGGTAATTGTGTTCTGATTCATATTTAGCCACAGAGGATGTAATCTATATCCTAGAGAAAGCCCTCCTGGGTGCTACTTTAGTTATTCTATACAATCGGGTACAAATCTTGTGACTTCTGCTTTTAGAACTAATAGACTGCTATGGGATCACTCACAATTCTTTGTCCAGGAGTCTCTAGACAGCTATCTATGTCTAACCGAAAGACTAAGAACCACCTCAAATATGCTATAGCTACTAGGTGATAGATAAGTCATTTCTAGTTTTCAGATGCTATGAGATATAGCCAGCATTATGTAAGCTCAGTAAGAGAAGTCATATTTCATTGGATTTAATGTATATTTAATATATATCCAGTACCAGCAAATATATACAGGTAAACTAAAAACATCAGTAAAATTTCAGCCAGCTTTAAAATATATATCAACTAATAAACAGCAGATAGCTATTTTATATAAAAATTATTCTATGAAATTTTACACATAAACGAATAACAAAAATTCCCTTTAAATTTGACTAATGAAAAATCAAAACTATATAAATGTGCATTTTCACTGGCCCACATTACTAGAATTACGAGTATATTCACACTTTATGTTAAAAAATACACGAGGACTGAAGTTTTCATCTTACAACAAGAAAATATTATATAGCTAGAATGGGAGATCTTTTTCAAATCTTAAAAAACTAATAGGGTTCTATAGTATATATCTCACTTATCTAGGTGTCTTTAGCTACCTTGTTATACTCAAGCATTTGATAAATGCAAAGATACCCTCTGAAGAGAAGTGGATGATGATAAGTAATCTTTTGCTCTATTATGAAAAAGGAACAGCTGGAACTGAGGCTCTAGAAGCTCTTTAATAGTTCTTACATCCTTAGCTTTTCTCTGACACCAATAGATGGTCATAAATGGCAGTGAGAAACAGTAAAATCAAATGTGATTAAAGTTGAAGTGGGAATCACTGTGTACCAATATCAGTTAGCCTTTACAATATCTACCATATAAGACAAAAGCCACTGCATGAAATCCTAGAGATGATTCTTTCTTGACTATACCAAAGGTAATCTCACAACATCACCTCTCCTTTTACACACATATACTCTACCTGACAAGCTGGATCAAGATCCATTTTCCTTCTGAGGAATTTTTCTACATGCCCAATAGTTGCTTCTCCTGAAACTCGGACAAATTTCTTTTCCAATGGCTAAATAAATAAACAAACAAATAATTTTCAGATTAAATATACATTAAATGTATAAACCTTAAAGCAAATTTTATAGCTGATTCAATACTTATAAAAAATTGCTATAAATTTTGAGTTAATTTACCTATCAAAGAAAAAAATTTTTCTGCTTAGCTTCCCTTCTCTGAAAAGTAACAATTTTTATAAGCAAGGTTTACTGGTTTATTTTAATACCTCATCAAAAATGAAACAGTAAAATTAAAATTTATTGACAGAGAGGGAATACCCAAGATCAAGTGTCTAAAACAAGCTGGTTTCTTTAACCAAAAACTGCAAAGGGAAAAAAAGTAAAAGACGGAGAAGGAACTGCTAGACTAAAAAAATACGTAAGGGCTATAAATAAGAGATATATCAACCAACTGCAATGTGTGGATCTTATTTGGATCCTGATTTAAACGAATCTATAAAACAATTTTCAAGAGACAATCTAGGAAATTAAAATGGTATATGGATATTTGATTAAGGTATTACTGTTAATTTAAAAAATTACAGTATCATCATTATGTTTGTAAAAAGTTCTTATCTTTTGTAAACGAACTGAATTATTTACTGATATAGTCTGGGATTTGCTTTAAAATTATATGGGAGAAGAAGTGGTGAAAGCACAGATGAAATGAGATGGTCCATGAGTTTATAATTATTTAAGTTTAGTGATGTGTACATGGCTGTTCATTTTACTATTCTATCTACTTTTGGATGAGTTTGAAAATTTCCATAATAAAGGCAAATTTTCTTTTTTAAGTGGAAAAAAAAAGATTAACATCTAGACATAGATGGCTGGAATATGATCCAATGGTCTGAGGTGACAGGTAGAGAGACCAGAGTTTTAAAGTAGAAACTAAAGCTTACTCAGGTACTCAGAGGCATTTTTAAGGATACTGTCTAATGCAAATGAAAAGATGAAGTAATCAAAACTAAAAGAATATCTTTCAGGAAAACCTGAACCATGTTTTTCTAGCACTAGCAGAGAGGGAGCCTAGCATGGCTATGAAGAGGATCAAGGAAGGTGAGGCACATGTTTGTTCCATGTAACAGCACTCAGGTTTCTCACCTGTAGTTTGGTTTCTTAAGACCTTTCCTGACAATAGATCTATCCCTTATTACCACAGTGTAGTAGATAGCATAGGTGTTAAGTGCAGACCTGGTTCTGTCATTTTTATAGTTCCTAGTCTTTGGCCAAGATGCTGAATCTTTCTACATCTCTATGACCTCATTTGTGAGAGATAATGATAGCACCTACATCATAGAATTACCACAAAAAAAGTGATATGATCTATGTAAATAAGTATTATCAATTCCTGGCACACAGTAAGCACTTAAGAGTTATTGCTGCTGTATTGTGATCATTTTGCTCTTTAAGTGAAGAAATTTAACTCTTACAGAGGGCCCAGTTGTCACCTAGTTGTTACAGAGGATACTGATATAATTGATACAGAGGATACTAGACAAAAATGGAAAAGTTTCACTTTCTTTTAATGCAGGTATAGGAATCATCTCACAAAGCTAAGGCAGTCTCAAAAAGGAGATACATGTGCCCCAGGGTGAGTTCCCAAGAAGGTAACTCATTGTAGGTGGCACTGCCTGACTGGCATAAGAATCTAATTAGATGCCTTGAGAAGCTGTTCTTCTGAATCATCTATATAGATGCCTGCCTGCCTGGCAACCAGTGCATTTCTGAAGTTCAATTTCCTAAGCTTACCATCTCAATAGCAGGCTTCAGGTATACCAGCAGAGGGACAGTTCAATTTCTTTTATTTCTAATTCCAGGAAAGTACTTTACTCCAACTTAGCTAACATTACCACTACTGTGATTTTTAGATCACTCAGAATAAAATTATGAGATCTGCCAATATCTGAAAGAAAAAACATTGGTCTTGGCTTTCGAAGCTAGGGTTCTCATGTGGTACCTTAGCCCTTATACGCCAGCCTCACAAGGATTTTCTTTCCCATATAAATCAGATCCAGCTTTTTTAGAAGACAGTTTGTTTTGTTTAAGACTTCAAAACTAGTTCTCAACTAATAGCCTCCTACCATCTGCAAATAAACAGTTCTCAACTAATAGCCTCCTACCATCTGCAAATAAACAAGGGAAAAAAATTCCACAGAAGGATGATACGTCTTCAAAATTAAACACAGCAATTTTATCTGCCATTTATAACACAATCGGTCAATTTGATCAATTAAAAGAATAAAGTAGTTGAAAAGCTGTGTAGGGAGAGTTAAAAGAGGTTCAGTTATTTTCTGGCTTTAGATAATGCATACCACTAAAAATGTCTTTTAAAAAGATGATATCAATTCAATTATACTTTACCTTGAAAATCCTACCACTGTCAACTGAAAAGGCCTAGAAACAGTTACCAACTCAGTAGCAAGGTGAACCCTAGCAAACAGACTGTGATTTTGAAATAACACCAAAAGGAACTAGGATGCCTTGAAAAAATGACTGATTCCGTGTTTGGGGCAAGAGATGTACAAGGTGAGCATGGAACATCTTGTCATTTTAGATAGCAAGGAAGCTATCACAAACTATAATATCTACGATAGGACAATTTGAACATCAATAAGGATAACAGCCAAAATTAATTTAAACCATACATGTTTAAATCCACGAGTTTATATTAAACCATACATGTTTAAATCCACGAGTTCATATTAAAGTAAAAATGAAAACAACAATACCTAATTGGTCATGACTAGAGTATGCTAATGAATCAATTCATTATTTTGAACTTGGTAAGGGAATCAAGTATTTATCCTGCCTTTCTTATATTAACTGCGCAACTGGCTAACTAAATAAATGAAGGAAGTTTGTCTTTATAGGAGTATTTCAACTAATAAAAGGAATGACAGCATAAATTTAAATCTAGGGGTATCATTAGATTCACACTTATTTTGGCAAGAATACTTCATATTCATAGGTGGTACTGTCATCATTTTTTTGATGTATGAGCATCAGAATTACATAAATATTCTAGGTGCACATGTACTTTTGTGAAAGCAATAGGCAAATATTTCAATTTAATTTCTAGTTCTTTCTTCAAGAGATTTTAATACTGTTGGCTTGTCTAGCTACTACAGGTCACTAGAGAGATGGTTTCAGAGAATTCTAGGAGCATGACACTGCACTTGTCCAATATAGAAACTTACATGCCACTTTGCTACCCACCACACTACTATGAAAGAACTTTCCTAAAGTTAATCACGTTAAGTTTGATATTTTACAATTTAAAAGTTCAAAGTTACGAAACTTAACACTGCATTCCCTCTATCACACTGATATCTCTGGGAAACATTTATGATATACTTTGTCCAGAGAATATCCATCTATTCTTATGCTTTAATTCACATCTCTAGGCCACTGTAGTAACAAAACAGTATACTCAACCAGGTATGACTCAAATTTTAGTATAGACTTTGATGAAATCACTGAAACTCTAAACAAATCAAAGTCACCTATTTTCTTGTATATTTATAAATCCCAACTATAAGGCCTGATTTACACTTTTAAAGGTTACCTTTTCTTGAATAACTCATACTGTAGGAGCAACACTGTACAAAGGCACCTGTGATACTGGAGACTTTAAGACAACTCTGAACATAAGTATGTTACAAAGGAGTTCATTCTTACCTCTACAAGTTCAGTAAATGATTGAAGTAACAAGTTAGGGCAGGTTAACTTGAGCCAAAAATGTTACATGCAAATAAAATTTTAAGCTCATGTTTTACTATAAAAGCCAACTATGCAAAAAATGCTTTGAATAATTTTTTATCACCAAATTAACATAGCATTTAGCTTTAGACTCTTAAAAGTTACTCATTTATTTTTCCTTAGACCATTGTTCTGAATAAATCCCTACTTAACTCTTTTCTCATAAATCTATTATGAGCGTATTATTAAATGTACTTCACATTTCAACTTTTATTTATAAAACATTATTTATTGTAATTTAAGATAATCTACATATGATTGCTAATCTCTTAAATTTTTGTGCTATAGGGTCCCCTTGTGAATAAAAAATAAAAGTAAAAATACCTTAAAATGTCCTGTGCCTTCATTAGCACTGAAAAATGAAAGCAAAATTAATCAATAAAATATTTTAAACTGTATGTTTAATCATATAACACAGAAAAATAACATGAATATAAATACTCGAGAAACATCAATTTAATTTTAAAACAAATGCTGTTGTCACTTCTGCCACCTAGTGGTAAGGCAAAGGCAGTTGAATCCAGTATTTTATACTACTTGGTAAACCTCCAGGAGTTAAAAGTATATTCTTAATATTTAGATTTGCACACATGTAGCATTCTAACATTTCCAAGCTTAAAGTAAAACTTCTTTTTGCTTTTTATTCTATCATAATATTTTTTTCTCTATATTAACCTTTATAAGATAGATTTCTTACAAGAGGCCACTATCATATTTTCCGTTGTTTTACTTGTAAAGCATAATTACCTGGCATGATTTACTCAGTTTGCCTTTGCAGATTTCTTGATTAAATCAATACTTTTGTACCATGAGGTGACAAGGGGCACTAACTTTTGTTGAGCATTTACTATATATCAGGCATTATACTAGGTCTTCATATATTACGCATGTTTTTCATTTAATCCTCACCATAGCCCTACAAATCAGCTATCAGTATCCCCATTCTACAGAGGACAGGTAAGCTCAGGGAAGTTTAATAACTTGCTTAAGGTCACAGAGATAGTAAGTGACAAAGCTGGAACTCAAACTCAGGTGTATCTAGCATCAAAGCCCACGTTCTTTCTTCCCTACCATGTTGTGAAGAATAGGTGTGATCAAATATAATAAATACATTCTTATAATACAAATGTAATAAATACAAACATAATATAATACAAATATAATAAATACATTAAAATGTTATAACTGTGTTTATATATTAATATAAATATATATTACATACAAAAATAAATCTAAGATAACATAATTGTAGCATTTATGAAATAAAGCATCCTATTCATTACGAGAATTATCTCTATAGAATCCATGATGTATGGGCATCTGGCTTCTGCTTGAATACCGAAAGAGATAGAGCTTTTTACCTGACAAGTCAATCCATTTCATTTATGAGCAACTTTGTTAGAAATCACTTGCTTAAACTGAAACAGATGTTTCTTCCTGTAACTTAAACCTATTGGTCTTAGTTTTGCTTTTTGGTACTCTTGTGAATTAGTGGTAATCTTTCTTTTATGTGATAACCCTCTAAAAATATGAAGTTAACTTATCATTGCTTTCTCTTTTTCAGACTATATGTTTTTGTTCCTTCTGCTACCACATATGACATTGTTTTCAAACCTTTTACTATTCTGGTTACACTTCAGTTTACCAACGTCTCTCTTTTTTTTCCCCTTTTTTATTTTTTTTAAGCCTACAGCACCTGGTATTCCCAGGTGGTCTCCCATCCAAGTACTAACCAGGCCCGACCTTGCCTAGTTCCGAGGTCAGACGAGATCGGGCGCGTCCAGGGTGCCATGGCCATAGACCCAGCATCTCTCTTAAATGTAGTGCCCAGAGCTGAATATAATACTCTAGTCGGACTAACATAGCATACAGGGGGATACAACCTACCTGTTTACTAAACACCACCAAGTTTAAGACTGCATCAAATTTTTGCCATATCACACTTTTCTCATGTGAGTCCATTTTATTTCCTAAGCAGATACTATACATATTATAGCACTATGGACTACTTTAATCTTTGTTTTTGAATGACCCTGTATTACTACAATACTCATACTGATAATAGATTAGACATGTTAGAAATACCATAAGTTGATTCTTACAACAATCCTGTGAGTTGCTATTATAATTCCCAATCTAGAAATATGGAAACTGATGATCGGAAAAGTTAAGTTACCTCCCAAGGGTTACATACTTTGACTTAGACTCTTCAAAGACTATTCTCTTTCTGTACACACTATGCTGCTTGTCTGAAGTTATTTCTTTTTATAGTTGTCTATTTTAAACATAGGAATGAAGAACAAAAAAGAGAAGTATGAGACTATCTTTAGATCACAAAACATGCATACCCTATTCACGGGGGAAATCTAATTTCATATTCCAGTGGTTGAAAAATCACTGTCTACCAGCTGAACCTACTTCAGTTTTTTTGTTTTTTTTTTGCTTCTCCAATTCAATCAGGGTCACAAGCTGGACCACTTGTCCCCTGACCTGAAAAAGCTTCCTAGGGGTTACCCTCAGTAGCCTGACTTTTGTGGAAACACAAAAGCTTTTCCATGTAGTAAAAACATGGGGATTTAATTCTGGAGACTGGAGACTTCAAAAGGACTCTTTGCAGCTGGAAGCTCTCTTTCAAAAGGACTCCCTGTAGCACTGGAAGCTTTCTTCACTTTGACCACTTGAAAACAGATAAAGGACTATAATATGAGGTAGACAGACTACCCATCATAATGATCAAGATTCAATTCTCTTATTTTACAGATAGGGAGCTGAAGCTGTGAGAAGTTAAAACTAAAAGTTCCATGAAGGCAAGGGTCATAGATAACTTACTCAAACTATAGTCCCAGCAGCTAATAGAGTGCTGTGCCAGTATGTGGCAGGACCTTAATTAACATCTTATGAATAACCAAAAAGCAATTCATCTAAGTTTACAGAGCTAAATAACAGAGGAGCTAGGACTCACATCTAGATCTCCTTATTCCAAGTGAGGGCTCTTTTTCTTTTTTTCTTTCCCCTTCTTTAACTCCCCTCTGCCCTCACTTCCACCCCTGACCTGCAGATGTTGCCCTCTCCCCTTAAGAAGTGGATCTGTGAAGGTGGGGCGTCTCCTCCCGCACACTCATGGTGTGCAACCAGGGCCTGGTATAGCTGGGGTATGGTCTGTGGCTCCACCTGGGGTGTGAACCCAGAACCTTCTGCATGTAAAGCAGACAGACGTGCTAACCACTATGCAAGGCTCTTTTTCTACAGCAAGGAAGGTGTTAATATTGTAACAACTCTAGTAAGAGGTAATGACTGCCTTGAACACTGAGGTCAAGTCTCCTTCTGTAGGAAAGGCTGCCATAATTAACTATTGATTTCTTCTGTGGGGAAGGGAAGAGATAATGGTGGCACACCTTTCTCCCATATTTCCCATCTGTGCTTTCCTGCCTCTTTTCAAAAGTGCATTCCTACTACTTTTCAAAAAAAAAAGTATAAAAATACTGATTGTCAATTCCTACCGTACATTAGTGGAAAAAATTACATTTCCCAAAAGTAATTTTTTAGAAATATAAAAACCTCTTGATTTCCAAATTTTAATTAACTAGACTTATTACAAATCAAATTACATGGTAAAAATTCGAATACAATGAAAAGTAAAACTTTTTCCCATCCTAGACTCACACTCCAGTGCCCTTTTCTAGAGGCAACTGTCATCAACATTTTATTTGTCCTTTCAGGAATGTTCAGTTCATGTTAAAAAAAAAAACATGTATATGCACATATTTCCCACTACCCTCTTTTTATAAAAACATAATGGGCACGAGCTATATATTCCCTTCTGAATCTTGCTTTTTTCACTTCAGACATTTTGTAGGTTCTTCCATGTTCACACATATTCATGTGCTATATATTATTATTTAACCGGTTCCCTTTTGGACATTTAGGTTGAAACACATTCTTTAATAACTGAAATTGCTGGTTTAAAGTTTGGTATATATGGTTTCTTCTCATTCCTCCAAAGACATCTTTATTTCATTATCATCAACCACTACTACATGGGCTTTGTGGAGAAATAAGAAAGGTTTCTTCCTTCTCAGGAGTCCTTGATTTCAGTTGAGAACACAGAATGAATACGTAAATTAGATAAAGATAACATAGCACAAGCTAGATATTAAATAAATAATACAGGCAACCTGGAGTTATAAAGAAGGACTGGCTGAGAAGTAAAATAGTCATCAGTGACATAAAATGGAAAATCTAGATTTTTCTAAGAAAAGCATTTTAGTTTACAGTTTGATAAAGCGCCAACTTTGTGAATGATAGTCTGTTTAACAATGTTGCAGTATAATGGAGTATACCATATGCTCCAGTGTTTGAAAGAAGCCATCTGTATGAATTAGAAAGATGTCCAACTACTTTGGAAAACAATTTGCCAAAACCAAGTTAAGTTGAAGACGAACATATCCTAAGACTCAATAAACCTACATATACTCTATAGAACTGTCTCATACATATACAAGGATATATGTACAAAAATATTTAAAGCAACATTATTTATAATAGCAAAATAAAAGGAAACAATTTAAATGTTCAACAGTATAGGAAAAAAAAATTGTGTCATATTTTAAGGGAATACCAGGCAATGGTGAAATGAATAAAATAGAGCTACACATTTCAACATGGATAACTCACACAATGCTAAGTGAAAAAAAACAAGTTGGAAAAGACAGTATGATACCATTTAAAGTTATTAAATGGGCAAAAATGATTCTACATATTGCTTAGGAATAGATACACTAGTGGTAAACATATAAAAATGCATGAGAATGATAATCTTTACTTTTAGGAGTGTGGTTATTAAGCTCTAAGGGAAGGAAGAGTGAACATGAAGAGGTAGCCAAGTGGCTTCTGCCATATCAGCATAGTTTATTTCTTAAGTTAGATGATGAAGATACAAGTGGTTTTGTACTGATCTTCAGACCTTTTTCTAAGTCTTAAATATTTCATAAGTAATTTTTTAAAAGATATCAAAAAATTTAATTTTGAGTTCGGGATAATTTCATAACAGTTGGGACTGTAAACATTATTTTAAGGTTAAGAGGTTGAGAGGTTTAGGATACTCACCCAATGAACTCTAGCAATAAAGACATATCAAGTTCAGGCGGAATCCGAAACACTGATTCTAAGACTTTCTTAGATCTTCCTTTGCTTGAAGGGACTGGCTGTGGAACAGCTGTTTGATAACCAAAGAAAAAAGTTGAGTTAGAAAAAAAATTTCATAAATTGAAATCTTTGAAAAATAATCAGATATTATGACTGTGTCAATATTAAAAGATTGTAAAGCACTCAATCTCCTTTAATAACATTAGCTAATCTGTCACAGCCAGTGAAATTTGAGGCAAGCCTGGAGACCACTCCACAAGGCAGGCCTGTATCTGGTTTATCAGGGCCACAGAGAGAGCTCATCATACAGCAACAACAGCTGTAGATAACCCTTAACCAGTATTATGCGCCATCTCATTTAATCCTTGTTATAATCCCATGACAGGTACTACTGCTATTTTTTTTTTTTTAACGGTAAAGAAACTGAGATTATAGTTTAGTAAGATCAGGCAATTTGCCTAAAGTCACCCATGTAGTAAACGGAAGAACCAGGATTTAAACCCAAATCTATCTAACTTCCATACTGTGACATTCCCATCATCATAAAAACTAATGTTTGAGCAGTTACTATGTTCCAGGCACTGTTTCAAGTGCTTTGTATTACTCAACATATCCTTACAGCAATTTTATAAAGTGTTATCATTATCCCTACTTTATAGATGAGGAAACTGAGACATGGAAGTAATTTGCCAGAGTCATACTGCTAGCAAAGGTGTAGAGCTAGTATCAAATTCAGACAATCTAGCTCCAGGGCCTGTACTCTTTCTTATAAATAATTAAATTGAATTACAGTCCATTATTACCTTCAAAATCTCTCTCTTTTATCATAAAATAACCAGCTATCACCAAAAAAACTTCAAAGGGAATTTTGTTAGTATTCTTTAATCTATAAGTACATTATGATACACACCCAAACTTACCAGGTTTAGGTACTTCTAGACCTCTTTCTTTATAGAAATCATGCATTTGCTTTTTTTCTCCTAAAAAATGATAAAACAGACTAAATTACACTTAAAATGTAAGTAGTAGAGATTCTGAGATTTACAACTATGTAATAAAATAAACTTACTTTCCTCTAGATTGATCACTAATTTGTACACTATGTCTTGTAACTGTCGGTCCAACCTAATAAAAGGAAAGGATGGAAAACACCTCAGAGTTCAGAACAATGCATTTTGGTACAGAGTGATTAATGCTCTTTTTAAGTACTGTTTTCTCTTGGGAGTGGATATCTCTTTTCTCAGAGGTGAATTACTTTTAGGTAGCACTCCTGGTTTTCACCATGAGAACCTAAGTAATTATATGTAATCATAACTAATCAGAGACTCTTGAATGATTGCTAAATTATTCCATATATGCTGTTCTTATTCCCTTGCTAAAAATATGAGCTTAAGGGCAGATACTACATTTTAAACTTCTGTGTATCATCTGCAAAGCACTCTTCTATGAAGGTAGTAAAAACATTAACAGTCTTTGCTGAATAAATGAAAGCAATCCATTTTTAGTATTTTTCTCCCCTCAGGAAACAGCATGAACTGAAAATCTGATAAACCACAATGACAAATAAGCTTTTCTAAAGAGGCCAGTTTTTCAGGTATTACTTTCAGAAAATAGAATTCTAAACATACTGAAAATGACAAGCCTAAACTGGCTTCATTAACTTGAATGATAGAATTAAAATCCTCAGGAATAAAACCCCCTGTGCCTTTTTTTTTTTTTAAGTCTCCAGCAGCTATCACAGTGCCTGGTACACAGTAAGTACTCTATATGTATTTCTGTAAAGATTATGTAGTTCCTTCTCTTCTAATTTTGAGATAGATCAAGAATTTATTCCTCAAAACACAACTTCGAGCTTTCAGAAAAAACATACTTTAAATACTAATATATTCCTCTTACCTTATATTGTAAAGAGGTTGTGTCTGATGTACCACTATGTTGCATTTTGGACATCTGTTGCTATAGTAAAAATGTCTTACAATGCAGCTTTTACAAACTGTTGAAAGAGAATGTTTAAAATAGAATGTTTTTGAGACATTTCAAAAATTTAATCTATTATTCGGAAATGTGAACTATATGCTTACATGTATGAAGACATTCTGTAATAGTAGTTGCATCTATTAAGTAACCTTTGCAAATGGAACACAAGATGTATTGCGTCAGCTCAGAGAGGTTAATCAGGCGCTGCAAATGCAATAAAAATAGTTTTAAAACACAAGTCCTTGTCTTCTCAAAATTTCAAGCCATAATCCAAAAATTTCATTATAAACAATATGTAACTTACTTTGCAACATGAAAACATGTTACCGTGCCTCCAACTCTTCAAAATACCGCTGAAAGTTACAGTAACACAAAATAAACCAGTGTTTCAAAAACATCATTCTTTTGGATATACTGTATATTGCCACATGAGGGCACTTTATGAATTACTTACGAAATGGGCAAACTTTCCAGATATTGGGGCTTAAGTTTAATATATTAATTCTAACTGGCTAGGTGTATGAAGTATGCACCACCACATTAAAAAAAAAAAATCTTCCCAATTAAAAGACTGACTAGGTGGGGAAGGGTTTACCATCCTCTCGACACCTTGTAGAAATAGGCTGTTTCTCCTGTTCAACTGTAAGCTCCTGGAAGGCAGGAGCACGGTACCCTTGGTGTCTACCCGCCTGGCACATAGTTGTTTCAATAATTATTCAATGAATGAGAGAGTCAGACCCGGAGAAGCTAAGTGATCTGCAGGAACCTCACAAAATGAGTCCGCAAGGAATCGGGGCGGGACAGCAGGCCAGTCTGCGCGCCACATGCCTAGGCAGGAAAGGTAGCGAGGTGTGGAGGTCGACCCAAGTGCCAAGGGCTGCAGCGGCGAACTGAGGGCTGCCGCGGCTGAGGCGGGACAGATAGTCCTGGAGGCCGCTCAGGCCCGGCGTGGTCCAGCACGGGTAATAAATACCTCTTCCTCCTCCTCTGATTCCGGCCGGCCCCCCTCCAGCCTCAGCGAGAAGTGGCTCATCTCCTCCTCCTCCTCCTCCTCCTCCTCTTCTTCCAGCTCCTCATCCTCCTCCAACTCCTCGTCCTCATCCTCGAAGCGGCCCCTCAGGCGGCCCAGGCTGCGCTCCGGCTCCAGCTCAGGGGGCCGGGAACGCGAGCAGCCGGGAGCCCCCGCCTCGGGCAAAGGCGGCGGACCCTCCTCACCCACCGCGGGCGCAGGGGTGAGGGCAGGCGGGGAGACGGGGGGCGGGGGTGGCATGGCTGCAGCTCCCTCCGTCTTCGCAGCGCCCGCATTAACCATCGTCACCACCGGGACCCCCTCCATGCCGAGGTCAAAAACGAGGCGAGGAGAGGCGAGGAGAGGCGAGGCGAGACCAGGCGACTGGATAGCGCGGGAGTTCCGCCAGCCTGCCTACGCTACCAGTGCGCAGGCGCGGGAGACCTGCGGGGCCCGCTGGGAAATGTGGTTTGCTGAGCCTCTCCTAAGTCGGGATGTCAGCGGAGCCGCTCAGGTACACAGGGCGGACTTGCGGGCCGCATCTTAGGGAAATCTCACCCAATTTTTCCTTTGAAAGGTTGACTTTCTCTTCATTGCCTTTGAAATTGGTACCATTTCAGACAGCAATATTCTGTCTGTATCGATTGATGCGCAGAGCACTTAAATAAGCGCTATTATGATGTTGCATTAGAAATAATGATTTCAATTTGAGTATCAATTATGCGTTTCTTCCAGCCGAGATTATTTCCATTAGGAAGTATGAAGGTTAAGTTTATGTATTCGGAGGAATTAAATCTTCTATTACCACGAGATGGAAATTTAACCACCATTCGAAAACCATACACGATTTTCCAACACATAAAGTCAATTATATTTAATTCAACAAACATTTATCGAGGGTCTACTGTAGCAGGAACTGAGACCTACCCACACACCTGCCCCCAGTTTTCTTAGGAGAGAGATTTTGAGCTGGCGTATATAATTCTTGCTGACTAAGATGGTATCAGCTAATGTCATGATGCTTACAAGCCAGATTCAGGAAAGAGTCAAATACACCTTAACGAAATAATGCTGGGGGGTGGGGGTGGGGCCTGGAGGCAGGGGGTCGGATCACATTTGAGAGAGAATGTGTTAATGCTGAGTAAAATGAATGAGAGTTTGGGAGTGGTGTGCATACTTCTTAGGGAACTGGTGAGGGAATCAAGTCATTATGCTCTTTTAGAGAAAACTGAACCAGATCTGTACACACCCATTGCTCCAGGACTACACCCCACCTCTCCCTCTGCTGTCTCCAGCCTAGTCAAGCCTGAAATGATAAAGATTTCAAGATCCAAGAAGAAATGGAAGGAAATTTCTCCTCCTGCATGGAGGAGTGTAGATCTTTAAGGGAGGGGCATGGGAACTGGACTAAGCTAGTGAAAGGATGGTTGAAGAGAGAAATTGAAAGAGACCAACACCTGCCATGCTCTTCTTGGGCCTAAAACTGTAAGAGCCTCCACATAAGTACATTAGATAAAGTCATAGCTTCTAATCTCAACATTGTAAGAGCTACATGACCAAAAAAATGCTTATTTTATTATATAATATTGAAATATTGTATGAAAATGCTAATAATAATAACTAAGTTTTACATAGAGAATGTGAAAAAAAAGTTTTAAAGCAAGAATTACATATTTTCAAAGCTAGCAAGCCAAGCAAATTATGAACTTGCATTACTGCCACTGTATGGTGTCAGTTTAGTTGGTAAACAGGAATATCTGCAGGCTTTGTCAGTCCTATGGTATAATGGTTAGTTTTAAGCTTCAACTTGGCTATACTATATAGTGCCCAGTTATTCAAACACTATGTGTTGCTGTGAAGGGATATTGTAGATGTGATTAACATCTATAATCAGTTGACTTTAAGTAAAAGATATTATCTTCCATAATCTGAATGGACCTCATTGAAACAATTGAAAGGTCTTAGAAGCAAAACTAAAATTCCCCTGAGGAAAAAGAAATTCTTCCTGTGGACTGCAGCATCAGCTCTTGTCCAGGAGTTTTCAGCCTGTTGGCCTGCCCTACAGATTTCAGACCTGCCTAACAAGCCCCCACAATCATGTAAGGTAATTTGTTGTAATAGATTATATATATCTCTCCTATTGGTTATGTCTCTCTGGTAGAACTGTGATTGATACATATTGTAAATGGCTTAATAATATGATATTTATAATAAGCAAGGCCTATCTCCATTGTGATCCATGTGCATTACCATATCCAAGTTGCATTTTGGGCACTTATGTGATTTTACATTTTCACAAGGCACCGGCATTGGGTCATGCCCTAGACTGAACTTCACTCTCACCATGGATGTTAACTTATTAGAATGATGTAAATGTAAAACAGCAAAAGTGGATCTAGCACCACTAGTTATTGGACTCCACATATCATGATTAAACTGAGTAAGATGTTGTGGAAAATGTGAGACATCAGGGGTTTTTTTTTGAGGGGGGGTGGGGATTGCTTTGATATTTCAAACAAAAGTCGTATCTAAAAATTGTTATATAAAGTTCACACACTATTTCACTATCCTCTTATAAGTGGACATAAAAGAAGAGGAAATGGCAGAGGCTAGTTGACTGTGAAGAACAATGGGTGTTTGTGCACCACATTTTTAAAGCAGATCTATGACCAATATGGTGGCACAGTTGGGGAATCAAAGAATCCATAAATGCTGATTGAGACTTGGAGTGATTTCCTGGTACTCTTTGTTTATAAATAAATAATTCACCAAAGACTTTAATTTTTAAAAGCAGATTAAAAACCAGAGAACTTTATGGTATAAATATTCATTTCAAAAAGTATTACTAAAACAATTTCAAATCATCAAATGAATATGTTATATAAATAATTACTAATACATCTCTGACCCAAAATACAAAATTTTTAAAAATCATATCTTTTAATATATAAGAAACATAGAAGACACAAAGAAAGTCCAAGAAAGCTCTCAGTTCCAGAGTTAGTAGTTTAAGAGAAGTCAAAGAAAATGAGCCTTTCCAGTCTCCCAGGGGAGGAAAGGCTGAGAGGACACGGAATATCACTAGACCCCGTGAAACCTGGGCTGGGGCCACGCATGGCCTAGTTCTCTACCAAAGCAAAGTGCTGATTTTCCTCGTCATGGTCCTGGCCTTGCTCCCATATTTGTCCTCCAGTTTTCAGAAGTCATCCAGTTCCCAAAATGGCCCCTTCCTTTAACTCCCTAACATTTTTACTTAGTGGAGAAGGTCGTTTATCCTGTCATGGTGTCAGAGTCCCAGAGAGGATTTTTATCCTGCAGGATGGTGAGAAGAGATCTCCCTAGCACCTTACCCTTGCATTTCCGTCTATTGCACTGAGAACTTGAAGATCAGGGAGTCCTCCGGTTTCTCAAGGGCTTGTCTGATCCCTCGTTGGCCACTGGGGTTTCTGAGGGCTGTCCTGTTTCCTCCTCAGAAAACACATCTTGGAGGGGAGCTCAGTCCGACTCTAAGGTGACATCTGGTCCTCAAGGGAAAACTGAGTGCCCAAAGGCAAGTCCAATTCAGAAGATGAAGGTGATTCTCAGGGCGGAAGAGGTTTTGGGGGAAGGTTCAACTTGGAGGCTTCAGTCTCAAATACTTAGCTGTTTCTCCAGTGGGCTTGGAGGCTCTCTGCTGCTGTTCTTCATAGGTGTCTGTGCAATGACAAGGGTAGGAGAATAGGGATCTGAGCGCTGGGCCTGATTAGGACCCTCCAGCTGCAACCCTATTGGGTCCACCTAGATGGGGTTTCACAAGATGCTGGCACTAGGTGAACATGAGTCCTCCACTTGAGCCAGATGCTGGTTGTGTGGCAGAGACCATGCTAAAATAACTACTGGGTCACTCCTGGCTGAGCCCGTCTCAACCAAGAGGAATACGGTGGGGCAAGGCAGTGCCCAGGGCAAAAACAGAATGCCAGGCCCCAACTCCACCCTCAGGTGCACAGCAGTTCAAGCTTCACCTTCAAAATACAGATTTCGTTCAAGGTCTAGGCTTGTTATATAAATAATTACTAATACATCTCTGAAACTAGGATGCCAAGTTTCAGAAGAACTGAGGCCAATTCCTTGTGCTGATTTCCTAACAAAGTCACAATTCTGTCTTGATTTCAAATATCATATGGCTGTTGATCTAAAATTCTGTATTGCTGCTTGATTCCTACAAAGGGGAATGTAAAGGGGAATCGTTTCTCAACAAATGGTGCTAGGATAACGGAATATCCATATGCCAAAGAATGAAGATGGACCCCTGCCTCTAACCATATACAAATATTAACTTAAAAATAGATCATAGATTTAAATATAAAAGCCAAAAGTATAACACTCTTAGAAGAAAACATTCATGTAAATTTTCATGATCTTGGATCAAACAATGGTTTCTTAGATATGATACTAAAACACAAGCAACAAAAGAAAATAGATAAATTGGACATTGCCAAAATTTAAACTTTTTCCCACACATTTGTAGTGGTCAATTAATCTACAGCAAAGGAGCTAAGAATAAACAATGTGGAAAGAACAGTCTCTCCAATAAATGGTGTTGGGAAAATTGGACAGCCACATGCAAAAGAGTGAAACTGTGCCACTATCTTACACAATGCACAAAAATTTACTCAAAACGGATTAAAGACTTGCACTTAAGACCTGAAACTATAAAACTCCTAGAAGAAAATATAGGTGGTAAGCTCTTTGACATAGGTCTTGGCGATAATTTTTTTATTCTGACAGTAAAAGCATAAGCAACAAAAGCAAGCAAACAAAACAAAACAAACAAAAAAAACAACTAGGACTACATCAAACTAAACTGCACAGCGAAAAAAAACATCAACAGAATGAAAAGACAATCTGCCTGTCTCCCTGAGATGATACAATGAGAAAGAAGTCTGAGACCTGCAAGAGGGCCCTCACCTGATCATGCTGGCACCCTGATTTTCAACGTCCAGCCTCCAAAACTGCAATGGGGAGCCACTGAAGGCATTAAAGAGGAAAGGGCTGTGTTCAGCGCCGATCTTGAGAAAGATGTCATAGGATGCCAAGTTTTAGAAGAACTGAGGCCAAAAGAATCCAGCAGTGGACACTCACTGAGAGGACACTGAAGCAGCCCAATGAAGAAGAGGTTCATGCAATAAGGAATGGAGGCCTATTGCCAATAGTCAGCAAGGAAGTGAGGCTTTCTGCCAGTAGCCACTTGAATAAACCATCTTAGAAGCAGATTCTGTAGCCAAAGTCAAACCTTCAGATGGCAGCAACCCTAGCTGACTTCATGACTGCAACATCACAAGAGACTCTGAGCTGAGTCGCTCAGCTAAACCACACTTTGATTCTTGACCCATAAAAACTGGGATAATAAATGCTAGTTGTATTATACTGCTAA